CTGCCTGCCCCGCGCCGCCCGCGTGCCCCTCCCACGCTTTTCCTCTCGCTGTCCTGCCTCCTGCTGCGTGAGGGGAGCGCGCGGGCACGGCCGGCGCCCCTCACGAGGCTTGGTGTGAGGGGACGCGACCTCCAGGTCGGGCGTTGCTGGTGGCTCCTTTCCACAAAACTGCAGCCTGGCCCCTGCTCTCCCCCCCTTCCCCAGGGGTCTGCTTGTGCTGTGTGGGCTCACGTGGAAACGTGTTGTCGAAATAAAAAAATTAAGAAGGTATTTCACCTTGGTAGCCACATAGAAATTTAGTTGCTTTGCCCGAGACTTGGATGGCACGTGCCAGGTGCTCTCTGTGGCTGGCAGCGTTAATTTAAACGAAAATCCTGGTAAATCTGCTCTAGTAAAAGCTTCTTAAATACCTGCTTTCTCTCACAGGTAAAGATGAAGTTATTAAAGAGATTACAGGTTGTGCCTACAGTAGTAGGTTGAGTCCTCCTGGTTCTGTGGTATCAGGAAAGGTATTTCTTGGATGCGTCCTTTGAAGAACCATGCCATGCTATTTTTTTCCCAAGTCATGAGGTTTTTAGGGTGGTGCATCCCAGGTGCCAGAGCTCAAGTCTGATTTGGAATCAGCTAGATACTTGTTCTTCACTGCTATGTATACTGCCTGTGAGAGAATTGTGGGAACGGACATACGGGTTAAAGGGAGGGACATTTTTTAGATGTGGTTCTTCAGTAGCTATTAGAAAGTATTGCTGCAGAGGATAGGTAGTTTGAATTTGGTGTTAAAGAGTATTTCTTCCTTTACCAGTACTTCTCTGTTCTTTTTCTTTTGATTGTAAAAGTGAAAGTGCTATTGTGCTGTTGCCTAATAGAGTCTGTGCTTATTCCTTAGGACAGTGATTTCATTAACTGTAGGGTCATTAAATCTATTTGAGGTGGCATTAAAGGTATTTTTTTTATGTGACGTAATTGATTGTAGTCACTGTATGAAAACAAGAACGTGCTTATCAATAACAAAATACAAAAACAAATTCTAACTGTATCTCATTTAGTAAGTTACCAGTTTTTTGATTCTTAGCAGAAATATTTTGAATTAGCTTCTTTAAGCGTTCGATTTTTTTTACACCTAGAAGGCGTTCATATGTTTGTGCCTTACGTTCTACAGTGCTTTTTAGTATACGTGCAGTATGGTGTGGGAAAAGGAACAACTTTGTGTACAGGCAACTCTTTTAGTCTGTTGCATAAACGTGTTTCCTTTTCTTTAGCTAGTTGGAAAACTTGCAACCTGAAATTAAAAAACTAGCTGAGCGTCTTCGCTATGAAGTTTCTGTTCGTGGAAAACAACTGGGTTGGTCTGAAAAGGTTGCCAGGTAAGATGATGATTTTACATATTCCACAAATCTGTTCCAGACAGGGAAGAAGGGGAAAAAAAAAAAAGAAAGAAAGAAAAGAAAAAAGGCCCTACAAACAGCAGCCCTACAGAAAGATTCTGCTGTTGCACAAAGCTTAGATTGTTTTACCGCTTTTCCAACTTGTCTGTATTTATTATATTACCCTTCAGAACATTTTTTTTTTTGAAGCCCTAAACTTGTCATAGATTTAAGATTACAGGGTCAAGTCTAGGAGTTTTTGTTGCCTTGTTCGTGACTATAGTTTCTATGGTCCTAAGTATTGTTAGGAGAATTGGAAGCTGCTACTTAAATGATTGAAGTCCAGTTCATTCTCCTAGTCTAATTATGTGCCCTGTGCAGCAGGAGTGTATCTAAGTTTGGACACCAAAGATGATATTACTGGCCAGTTTCCTCCATGTTGAAAAAGTTGTGTTCTAGTTCAGACGAAAGCACCACGCAGGACAAAACGTCAGATAAGTTACTGCTGGTTGCTAGTGATGACCCGGAACATAGTTGTGGAGAGCTGCTTGAAGGAAAGGCTCTGAAAGATGAGAGAGAAGGGGGTTGGCAGAGGAGAGAGATGTGCTTCAAGAAGAAGTATCTTCAAATTTTCCAAAGTTATACCTAAATAAGCCGCTCTAAGGTGTGCCATCTGTAGAACTGCTATTTCAGAAATCTATAACAGGTTTTGTAAGAGGATTTAATTTGCTTTTTTCTTAAAAGGTTCCATTTTAAGAAGAATCTGCGGAGGATTATTACAGAGCTGTACATTCGAGACAACTGCCACCCCTTCAAAGCTACTTTATTGATGTGGGTACAGATTCCAATGTGGGTCTGTGTGTCCCTTGCTTTGCGCAACTGCAGTGTTGGTGCCATGGACTCAGAAGGTGATCATTCTGAACGGATGCACAAAATGGTCATTTCCATACGTTTGCTCATTAAAGAACATGCTCTCCTGAGTTTGACGTATTAGTTGATCTAAAAACCACTCTTACGTTTTTAAACTCTGTATAGTTTAAGTATCGTTAAATATCTAACAAAAATTAAAATGGCTTTCAAAGGTTTTGGATATTAGCTATGGAATAGGTGCAGGGCTGGAGTAAACAGTGCTGCTCTGAACTATGGTAATAGTTACTGGTGGGTTCCAGAACTGTTAAAAAGTATCACTGCTCTCAGCTCACATGCTGTCAGTATTTTGTAATAGAGTTGTGAGCTTTGTAGGCTGCCTCTTCAAAAGCAGTAGTGGAATCTGAACTCTGGGAACCGCGTGAACTATGTTGTTATGCTGTATAGTATTTTGCTGCTATATATACTGTATAGCATACTTTTACATGGACATTTAATTATTTTGTGCTCTCCTGAAGGCAGAGTTGCTGGAAAAAAATTCTCTCTTTGGATCTTCTTGTTCAGAAGATAGTGATATTAGCAAGCAGTGCAATCCGTGCAACAGTATGTTTGCTATTAATCTCTAGTTTTTTCTTCCGTGTGAAGTTTCATGTAAAGCAATATATTCATGTTGAAAGTTTCAGGTTTTTTTAAGTAAGCGTATTGTTATTTTGACTTTTTAGAAAAGAGGTTAGGTGTGCTTGTAAAAACAGAAATGTGACAAGTTGTACTGTTATTAAGAAAAATAACGTATACTTCAATAGCACAAAATACGTAGTCATTGTAGGTTCCTACACTCCGTGTACTCCTTATTGCCTTATAAAAGGGTGGTCCAGATCAAGGTAGTCTTCATCACTGGTTCACCTGAATCAGTAGTTATCATGAGATGACCTGGAACTCAGCCTGTATCTCCCGCCATATTTTGCTTGTTGTAACAGCAGGCTGCCTTGAGGTGTAATCTTTCACGCCAGAAAATTTCATGCTATCTGTTTAAATAGACTTTATTATGTATGTAAAGTGAACCTAGTAACTTGGGTGATTTAAATGCAATATTCAGCAGTCCTGAGTACCTTTGAGGCAGAAAATCGCTTTTAATTACAAATATTCTTTAAACTTTTCTTGTAGTTAAAGAACAGTTTTCAACAGGTGGAACCTTGTGGTTTACAGACCTCACAGCACCAGATTCTACATGGATTTTGCCAGTTTCACTTGGGCTCGTGAATTTGCTGATCGTGGAGGTACGTTGGTGAAGCAAATGGAACGATTCCAAAAGGGTAGTTCTTTTTATAGAGTTGTAAGACCATACTTACTTAGTTATAAAACACAGTAATGCCATGGTAACTTCAGACTATGGCTGCTTCAACGCATTGGACAGAATTGAAAAACCGCATAATTGTTCTATGAGTTTGACTGTGCGGTTGTCTTCTGTGGAAATGATAAATTCTAACGTGACTTTACAGAGCTATTTACTTTACTTTAGCCTCAGTGAAAGTTAGTCTTGACTGAAGTTGCTCCTGCAAGAATGCTGTAATGAGCTTCCTGGGTTTTAGACATCCAAAACCGTGTTGTTTTTGCATTGTTTTTCAGAAATAATGTTATTGCCTTTGTATTTATCAGTAGCTTACCTTTCTGTGGTGAAACAGTATAGAAAACTGCTAAGGTGTGTATGTAAATGACATTGATATGGATGATAGGTGACGTCCTAAAGAAGTGGAGGCCATTTGATAAGAAGAAACAAAATAAGATTTAAAGGAAACGCTAGGGAAATAATGACTTTCTGGTCATGTTATGAAAGCCAAGGTATTCAAGGACAAGGGCATCCAGATTATGAGGTGTTTTTTTTCCTTCAGTCAGTGCATCTTGTCCTTACCTCTGAACATGCTCTCCAAACAAGCAAGTATCGTGTTTTCACCTTTGTACAGACACAGTTCTGATTTTGCTCTGATAAATGCCTGAAAAAAATCTTGTTTCCAATAAGAGAATTAGTTTGCTTTCATTCCTCAGAAATAGGCAGCCCCAGCTTTACTAACAGCTCGCAGAGTATTTTAATATATGTGCTTAGCACTCTAAAAATAGAAAGTAAGCATAATATTTTGGGCAGTGATATGTCTTCATTTCACAAAATAACTTATTTTTTAATGCCCTTTATACATGCTGCAAAGACGTTGTGCAAGCCTGTATAAAATTTGTTCATAATTGACTTTTTCAGTACATTCATTGCATTTTAAACAAAAATATATCCTTTGTGAACACAGTATTTTCAGCTGCAATATTACTGAACAGTCTAGAGAATTTTTGCTCTCCTGTCTTACGTTCTTTCTGTATTGTAAGGCTGAATCCTGGTACAGAGAATGCTGGATCAAAACAAGCATTTTATGAAATTTCTAGGAAAGAAAGTTGACTTGTGGTTAAAATGAACAGTGTTATAAATTCTTCTTGATACTTGGAAAAATCCACAACTTTGAACGCTGCGAGGGGCATAAGTCAACAAACAGAACAAAAAAACACAGTCTTTACTTTGCGTGTTTTTGGATAACTGCATGGAAATATTTTTTTTACTCCTAAATGTTTCTGTTAGTGGTCCTCATTGATCTCTAGCCATCTAGATTTTCTCCTTACTCAGCTTCATGTCTTTTCTTAAGTTTTGTGGACTAATATTTTATGAGAATGAGAGTCAACGTGTGACTGTAGATATTATTCTGCTTCTTTCAGTTATCAGTTTTTGGTCCATTTCCTCTTAGGAGGAGCCTTTCCTCAGAGGGCTGTGCTTGAGGAAATTTGTGATGTGCAAAAGTGACTATGTACAAGGATGTTTTCTTCGGATGATTTAGATGGGTACCCTGTTAGGTTGGTGTTTTCTCTGTGAAGGACTGAACATCTAAGGCATTAAGTGAGTTAAAGAGTGTAGCAGTACTTGAGCTGAAATGGATAATTAGCAAATGAAAATAGTAGGTGAACAAGAATACTGGGTTATGGGAAACCCAGTTGTAACCTTTTATTTGATTTTTAGTTGTAGCATCTTCATATCTTTGGGGTTGTTTTTCCCTCTTTCCTTCAGGTCTTTGCTCTGCAAAAACTGAAAGCTACCAGGTTTCAGAAACTAGCTACTAATTTCATTCGAGTGGTGTCAGTAGTGATGATCCCTGTTGCTGCAACTGTCCCCTCGGTAAGTCCAAAATCTTAATGCTGTATCCACTGACTGGTGTCTCTTTTGGCCCCAATTCGTGCATTCACAGTGCTCAAAGGACAGTCCAAATGCCTGATCTATTTAATAGACCACAGTCTCTGTTACCGCTGTGCCCTGAAAAAAAAATATATATTTTGTCTAAGCGTGCATTTAAATTATTAATACGTTTGGAATATTTCTGTCTAATACTGAGAGGGAAGAATCTGCAAACTAACTGGTACTGAAAATCATTTTCATAAGCTAGAGATCGGAAAAAAATTCAGAGTGGGTTAGCATCCTTTCTGTAATCTTAAAAAGCAGAGGGTAAGTTTGTGTAAGGAGATAGCTATAAATGAAGCTGCGCTAAGTATTTGCTTACTGGAAGATGAAAACAGCTTAGACGTTAGATTTGCAAATTTTTTTGTGAGCTTCTTAAAAGACTTGTTTCTTTTTTTTTCTTACCTAATGTTTTACTTATTTGAATGTATATTTTCGCAGTGAAAGAAAAGAAATCAATCTATCTAGTTGTTTGGCTCATCAAGTTTGTTTAACTGAAGCGTAGATGTTTAAGCAAGATATGATTTAATTTGTGAGCTGTTGTCAAACTTCAGTGTAGATGACATTTTTCCCAGAAGAGTTGAGAAAGAGTGAAAAATGCATTTGAAATGGAAGCCATTATTTTTATTGAGAGGAGTGTATTTAGGTGAGTTATTTTTCTTAATAATTAGGAGTGGTAATTCCTAATTAGTGGCTGTGGCTGTGGTTTGTGAAGAGCTGCCTAAAATGGTAGTATTTTCATTGCATCTCGGGTGGCTGAACTCAGTATTTGTCTTGTTGCAGTCCATGGCGTTGTACTGGTTGTCGTCAAGTTTCATGGGACTCTCGCATAACCTGCTGCTCCGTTCTCCGACCTTTCGTCGACTGTGCCGCATACCGAGGACCACGTCTGACTCGGCCACTCCTTACAGGGATATTGTCTCTGCCTTGACTACCAAATACAGTTTTAAGAAATGATGTGTTTTGAATGATTGGAAGAATTGTCCCGTAAAGATAGCCTAGATGATGAAGAAGTGATGTTTTATTGAAATGTACTTATTTACTGTAAAATGCTGCGACTGGAATTATATTCATTTTCTGAATAAAGTATTGACCATCTGTTTGACCCTTAATAAGTTATTGGCTGTTCTAGATGATTGTTCGGCACGTACATGTAATTGTTGGGAAGTTCTGTTTCAGGGATGCTGGTTTTGTAAGTAGAATGGTCCAGGAATAGAAGTTTGTCTCCTGAAATGCGGTAAGATATTGGGAAGGTGAATATGAAGTAAAACCTTGGCTTATCTAGGCTCCCTTTTTGTAGTGAAGGCAATCTCACCTATGGACTAGTGAAGAAAAAGTTTTTGGGGAGAGGGAGAGGTAGACAGACTGACGTGGTGTAGTTAGTGGTGTATAGTCTTTGCTAATAAAGACACTGGTGCAGATTCATTGGTGATCAGCCTCAAGCGTTGGCTTTCCAGGTGGTTCATGTGGTGGTAAGTGTAACAGTTCTGATAGATGCTTTCCTGAAACTGCAAAGAAAACTAAGTGCTTGCTGATGGTTAATGCCAGGAAATGAATGAGACTGAAATGCAAGAATTACTATAGGAAAAAGGATTATTTCCTTTTAGATCTTCTATGCATTAGATATGGAGTTAGGAGGACTGATTTGCGATGAAACTTCTGCACGCTAATCTCCTTTTTTGCCAAAGTCCGTGCAAGTACCCAGTCTATTAAAAATGTCTTTGCTTCTCCTTGTAGAAGCAAAAATCAGGATAGCGAGCAAAGCATTGTTTATGTTCTTTGCTCTCGAATGGTTCTCATATCGCAGAGAGGATGAGTCACGCTGTACCTGATAAAGTCATTGCTCATTAACCTTTGATAAGATGAACTGATTTTGAAAATAAGTTTTGGTATTTGACAGGAGTTAGTTAGCACTGGAGAAGAGAGGAACAGCTAGAATGCCAGCCAGATGTAGACAATAGAAACAAATCAACAATCACCTGCCTTTGTCATGTCAGAAAGCAACTGGAATCTTTGGATTTATTTCTTTTGTTAGTTTGTTCTGTCTCTCTCCCCCCCCCCCCCCCCCTCTCTTTTCAAGAAAAAAAAAAATGCAAGGGAAGGGAAGCCCCCCCCCCCCCCCCCCCCCCATCATCTTGGAAAAGATGAGACTGTGAGATGGCAATGACTTGTCCTCAGCAACATGCTGTAACGGGTCATACTCTGGGAAGGGGTTGGACAGAGACTTCTAGTTAGTGATCCTTTCCCACTTACTTGATGCTGTGGTTCTGTTTGTGTCTTGCCTAGAGAAAAATGACAAATTCTTTAAAACTTCTCTTTTAAGCATAAAACGCAGAGCACATTCTGTATGACAGGTGATGTATTGCTAGTTAGGTAGCTTAAGAAGAGAATGCATTTTTCTATTTCTGTACAGGTAGTACTGAATTTTCAGCAGCATCCTAAGAAGGAACAGACTCACTGTAGCCTCAGGTCAAATCTTTGGCTCAGTGAGCCTCTTACCTACCTGTTTCTTCCTATAAATCACTAATTTGCACAATTTCTGCCACTTGTATGTATAGTTTATTTAATAATACACTGCATTCACATTTTTATATTTTTAGAGTGGAAGAGCAATTGAAATGGTAAGTTAGCTGTTCTGATATGTGTAGGCCTGAATCCTATATGTTGATCAGTCCTGGTTATTGTTTCTTCACTAATGGTGAGCTTAGCACTGTGTAATGAGCTTTCTCCCCAAGAAAGGTGTATCTTTCCCTTTTGAGATTTCAGTCAAAGATCACAGTCTCGTTTGCAAACGTTTGTGCACTCGTTTAAGTGCAGAGGTATGTTCTTACGGTAAGGACATATGTTTGTGAAATTATGAATGTTAGTATTTGAACATACTGGTTTTTGTCAGTTTAAATGTTGTAGAATGATTCACTTCACAATGTTGATAATAGGTCTCGCTGGATGGAAAAACAAGGCAGTGAAACTCAGTGAAACGGTGCTCTGGATTTTCATGAGAGAATTATAGAAAGAATGTGTTTTTTTCCCCCTCAGAAAGCACAGCAGGACTCCAGTGAGTATGTTAATCTTTTTACTAAAGCCAGAGGCAAGTTTTTCCTTGACTAAAATGGCAACGGGGTTAAGACCTCAAGGGCACAGGTAATACTAACTTTCACATGCCTCATGTCATTGATCTCATGTAACTAACTGTGTCATGAGCAGGCCTGTCTTATTTCGCAGTGGATTTAGGATTATTTTGTAAGACGTCTTACTAGGGTAATGAAAATTGTGTGATTTTTCTGAGCAAAAGATGAGGTATAAGTTTATCCGTCGACAGGTACCCAAGAAAATAATTTAAGTAAAGACTTGAAAGACTAATGACTATAAGCTGTCAGATTAAATGGGATCTGGACTAGATGAGTGTATTGAAGTTAACAGAAGGATAGGAAAGGTCCAGAGTGTTTTCCAGTCTCACGTGACAGAACTGAACTCGATCTCAGGCTCTCATGGCTAGTGGGAGAGTCCTCAGAGGTGGACTATTCCACATTTGCCTCTTAAAAGTTTTCTGCACTTTCCTCTAAAGTACCTGTTTCTGGGTACTGCTAGAGGCACTGTGGAGGACCACAGACGGGATTTGGGGTAGAGCAGGAGCTGTGTGTGACACTTTCTGCACGGCAAGCCCAGTAACTCATGGCATGCTTGTGGCTTTACTAGTTTGAACTCTGCAAGCTGATTCTGACCAACTCCGTGTGCTCTGTGTGACTGGCAGGTCACTTGCATCTTATTCACTCCCTCGGTTACATTGCCAAGAGTGCTTACCCAAACGTATAAAATATTTGCAGTTTTGGGGCTGAAGTTTTAAGTCTGGAAAATTAACGATGGAGTGTTTCTGTCCTTGCTCCTTACCTTTAATCAGTAGACAGAGCTTGCAGAGGTGAAGGTCCTATGGAAATTTCTCTGTTTGTCTCATATTTTACTTCTTAATTTGTGCATGATTGATTCCACACCTACAGGGTAGAAGTCCTGGAAGGCCAAAACTATTTTATGGTTGTAACATTGTTGTTCTTCTCTGGAGACGAGTTCGAACTTCTCTCTGGTGTTTACTGATTTTGTTGTTGTTGTTGTTGAAACGCGTAGGGGACTAAGGATATGAAGTGAACAGAATCCAGACTGTTCATATTAAAAGTGGGAAAACACCTCATCAATTGTACATATTGTTGAAAAAGGAAGATACAAGGCCAGAATTATTTAACCATCTGGCACCTTGCTTTTGGAAGGACAGCATTCTGGGCTGCTTTGGCCAAAGAGTTTCGAATCAGCTAAGATCTAGTGAGCGGTATGCAAGACGTACACTTGATTATCCTTTTTGTGGATGGGCATTATGACAATTGGAACTGCTGTTCCACAGAAACACAGAACATAGGAAAAGACTTAGGATTTATCGTTGTGGAGAGCACAGCACAGCCTATGCTTCCCACAACTGACTTGACATGAAGCATTTTACAAGGAGGATTATGTTCATTTTAAAAATCAGATAGGATTGCTTTCTGTTAACATATCTGTTAAGAAGATAACAGTTTGGAAAAGTATTGTACCTCTAAATAAAAAGAGACTCTGTGAGAAAAATGTTCTTTTATTTCTTATGAGATGCATCTCAGAGGGGATGATTTAACTGAAGTGGATTGCAGAGATAAATTTCATGGCGCATTCAGTTAGGGTTATCTGCAAGTCCATAATTATCCCATGATGAAGTGAATTGTATTTTGTACCTTGTTTCAGCTGCTCCAGATCTGGAGGTGACAAAATTTTGTTCCTCAGAATTTAGCTGTTCTCGGAGTAACGTATCTAGCTTTTACTGCAGTTTAGTGTTCTGCTTTACCTTTGTCAGAAAGGCTGGCAATTTTATATAGACGTACTGTGTAGGCATCCCTCAAACAAGGGAGGGAAGAGCAAAACAGAGGAAAGGAATAGTTTTCCTTTTGTTCCTCCCCTCAACTCCACAGTGTGCAAATACATACGGAATTTGTCACTAAGGGGGACCACTGAGAAAAAGAATGCTTAAGGATTTCCTGCATAGCAGTCCTCCTTTTCGCTGCCTGGCACAAGGCAGCAGAGCAGACTGGAGGAACTGAGGATGTTTTTGTTTGTGGAACAGGCGGAAGCAGTCGTGATTATGGACTGGAAATTATATCTCTCCCAGTCAAGCGCTGATAGCTTGTACTGATATTTTTATTTCTGAATTATGTAGCAGTAGTACAGGCATAGCGTAGGTTGGCATAGTGTTGTAGCCCTAAATACACACTACAGTTTCTCATGTCTGCAGCCACACCCTTGCATTACAGTAGCTACTCAGCTACTTCCTTTTATTTCCT